AAACGCGCAATAACTGGAATATAAAACTGAAACAAAGGAACAAATCGCACTAGGATTTGTGCGCTCGACATTTCTTCGCTTTGTGACGTGAACTTTTAAATACGCACTTATGCAGCGCAGCGCTGCACACAGAGTCACCAGTTGCTTTGAGCACATCATTCTGCACCCGCGATGCGCATACACGCTGTGTACGCTCTGTTTTTCATGTTATCATCGGTTTGCGCACTGAAATATTATTAAAAGCCAATATATTTTGTTATACCTAGCCTGCTCAATACATTTAAAATAAGCATAATTTAATTGTATATTATTTCTTTGTAGTGTAGGCTATATATGCACTTCTGAATTCTTGATATTAATATATAAATATAAAATTGTGGAATGTATGATTGCCTGATTGAATTTTATAAGAGAACTAATAGTAATTTGTTTTTATTAACATATTTAGATTTTATAAAATTACTGTGCAAATTTTTTCAAGAATTACTTTTTGCTGCTGATTTATACACTCATTAAGTTTATTAAAAATTCATATTACATTTATGTAATATTTAAAGGTGTTAACTGTAATCTTACACTGCAAAATAATAACTTAAAAAGGATTAAATTCATCACAATTATGTAAGTATCTGGAAATTTGCCACGGGGCGAGGGCCCTTATATATCATATATATATATATATTTAATATATATCATTATATATAATATAATATATATTAGTAGGGCCCTACTAATATCATTAGTAAGCTAACATTAAATATAACACAATAAACCAAAGTATATCAGTAGGAGTTTCCTTAAGTCTTTCTGATAGTTTTCTACAGGCCGGATTACTACAACAGTAGAATACAATTCTGAAATTATGGTTTATAGTTTTGGTGTGCCACCCCAAGATTTTAAGTGGCCCAATCTGGCCACCCCTATGAAAAATTTCTGGAGGCGCCACTGCACAAAGAAACTTAAAGGTGCCCTAGAATGTTTTTATTTTTTATTTTATAATGTTTCCTGGGTTACCCTTATAATGTTAGTATGTTTTTTAGATAAAAAATAATCATAATTTAGAAATAAATGGCATTTTTCCTAGCCTGCTTTTAGCCTCTGATTTGAACACTCTGTTTGAAGGGGCGTGTCTGCTGTGGGATTCAGTGGAACCGCGGCCACTGCTGTGATTGGCTGTGGGATTCAGTGTAACCGCGGCCACTGCTGTGATTGGCTGCTGTGGGATTCAGTGTAACCGCGGCCACTGCTGTGATTGGCTGTGGGATTCAGTGTAACCGCGGCCACTGCTGTGATTGGCTGACATGCTTGCATATGAAATAGCTACGCATTACATGTGAAACTCTCTCGAATACTTTTACTACTGCTATTATACGTTTTTACTATTACAGCTATCGAGATTAACGAATCGTGAGATGTTTTTAAAGTATTTAGATCTATTCCCATCACATTAAATGTTGCCGTGATGAGCATTGAGCAGATGACAGTGTTGATCGCGAGAATGAAGATCTTATCATTGCAAAGCAGTTTCTGCACTCTCTCTGCTTTCCCCAATGCAAACACGATGATGTAAATACAGTAAGAGCTTCGTTGTGCAGTAACGTGCGTCATTGATTTCATAACGAGTTTGGCAAGTGTCCAGATAAACTCGCGCTGTGTGGAAAGATTGTTCTTTGATCGCTTTCTGTATATAATTTGTTCACAATTTAAATACGATTATTTTCATCCTACTACAAGAAACGATGTGAAGCTGATATTTTAGTCACTGGCTTGACTTACTGATGCATAAACAGTATTGAACGATTTTGAGAGAAAGATTACCTGTCTGAACTTGAACAATTACACATCAGAGAGTGTTGCTTGGTAGCTCGATCCGAGGCCAGCTCTGTATTGGCCCAAGTTGAGGAAACACTCGGTGAAATGTTTGGAAATTTCCAGAGAAAATAAAATTAACCCATTGTTTCTTCAGAGGCTCGGATGAAGGAACTAAAAAATACTTGTGTGTTCATGTGTACATCCACACTGAGCAACTGCCATGCTTCGGCTGCGCAGTTCCGCCTGGCATTGAGGGCTGGCATTATGCAAATATTTGGAGGCGTACATATTAATGATCCCGACTATTGCGTCACAGTCGGTATTGTGTGGAGAACCGACCGTTTTTTCAGGGGTGTTTTTCATAAACGTGAATTAAATGAGAACGCGAAAACAGTCCAGTTTGAGATTCACTCTATGTCATGTCCATGCACTGAACTCTTGTTATTTGACTATACCAAGGTAAATTCAATTTTGAATTATAGGTCACCTTTAATGAACATACATTGGTTAAAAATGTTTTATGTAATGTGGAGTTTTTATATTTAGCCTATAATATGATACAGTTAAGCAACATCACACGACCTCGAGTGCTGAATACCATCAAGATTGAAAATGTGACATTGATTTCATATGGCAGTTCAATAAAAAAGTAATTAATATCAAGTCACTTACATTTTAGACAATAATGTTTTTGTTCTATTTGAACAGCGAAAATAGTTCCAATCAAAGATCACAGCAGAACCACAGCTCATCTCACCGGAACACATAACCGCATTACTGAATGATTCAGCGCTTTAACCGAATCAGTTGAGTCAAAGATTCAATGGCCCATTAAACAACTGCCTCATTCCTGAACAATTCAGTCGTTTGAACGAATCATTTGAATAAATGACTCAATAACTCACTCATTAAGACGGTCACCTGCCGCCCCCTACTGGTGGTTTAGTTTCGTGTTTAAAAGGCTATCATTCTTTTCCATATTTCATATTTGTATATTATTATTTTTTTAAAAACAATCTCATAACATTATTTAATGCAGTTGTAATTTTTCAGTGTAAATTAATTCATTTGATTGGTAACAGCCATATAGTGTCTTATTATTCCAATTGAATTTATTGATCAAATTTAAGAAAGATTAAACATATTTAAAACGATTAGGGAAAAATGCTCTTTATACAGGTTAAAATATCATACATATGCAATTTAAATATGTAAAAGGTGACTGAACACTGATGAGAATATTGCTTCAGAATAAATTATAGTTTACAACACACACAAAAATATTTTTCCGTATAAGCAATTTTTTTTACTTGGACAAGTGAATGACCAATTTACTTGTTCGAAGGACAAGCACATGAAAAGCCTTAATGTTGAGCCCTGAGTTATATTGTATATAGGCCTAGTATTATGGTTATGTGGCGAGCCTGAGTAGTTTTACACATCAGCCCAGTCTATTCTGTAAAGTTAGTGATATGCCGGGTCAGGTTTTTAGTTGCATATTAATCTGACAATAAATGTGGCACACCCTGTTTTTCTTATGCACACCCAGAGATGATTTTCTGGCTACACTATTATGATTACAATGACCATCATTTGAAGTGTCACAAAATTCAGAAATTATCGTATGGGATTTTTTTCATTATTGATCGTACATCGTACAGCGGTCAAAATTATCGTACAATACGATAATTATCGTACGTCTGGCAACACTGGCTCCACCCCCTGTAGGATGCGAGGGAAGGACGCAAGGAAAGAAAAGGAGGACTGAGGAATCGAAGGAAAGCTTATGTATACATTGATCACTGGAGGGTCACTTCACAGCGTCATCAGCAGCGCTCAAAGGATCTGCCCCATATGTTGTTAAAGTTTGGTTATATAAGAAATTCATAATAAATAATAATAAAGCAAGAAACCCTGTTGAAATATGTGAGAATTGTGGTTTATTTAAACTCAAAAGGTAAAGTATAAACGAAAGTGATTGTGACCGTTGTGAAGGGGGAGGAGAAAATACGTGCTGCACTTTAGTCTAAATTCTTCCGTGTTTCCCTGTAAGACTGGAGAGACTGCAGAACTGAAAGACAGCGCAACTCTCTGAGAGAACAAAGGAAATCAACAACACATCAACATGCTGAGATCACCTGAAATTCACCAAAACAATCTATATGGGTTAATGTGAATAATTATTATCATAGGCCTACCGTATTACACGTTTGATATAATTTGCAATGTCTCAGTGCGACAGGTACAAAGGTCTCATTCTCAAAGAAGTAAACCAAAAGGTAATAAGGTATTTAAGAGTTTAGAAATAATTCACAGACGAGGGTGTGTCTTCCAGGCAAATGGTCTCATGCTCTCAAGAAGGTGAAAACTCAATTCAAATTTCCCCAAAAATATTCAAAAAATATTTTCACAACGTTTTAATGTCATTTTGATTATCAGACATTAATTTTAATGGATATAATTAGCCTATTGAATGCAGGGAGACAAAATAATATGTTAATGCGACTGTTAAGTTACTTTTTTTTTTAAAGTATTATATCTATTCATTGTGGGATTAAGAGTAGTTTTTAGGTTTAAGTTTGCCAGGTGAAGTCACTTTTTAAAATATCTGGATTTAAAGATTATTACTTTGGAAAAAATTGCTAACATCATATTTTTGTGTAGGTCTATGTGTAAAATAACCTAGAACATCACCTCCGTTCAAGTCATGTCTTAAAGATCGTATTTACAAGTTGAAAGCACATGAACGCCACAATGTCGTTAATACAAGCTCGGGATTTTCTGTCCCGATCTTTACGAGTTGGGGGCTTTTCTATTTACAGCTAAGAAGGTTAATTGCCTGCACAAAATACAGTATTATAGCATTATATTATAACAATATAATATGCAACGATAAAGTTTACAGTGGCTTCATAAATTAATTAAAAAACATTAAAAAAGCACAACACACATTCACATTAGGCCTACTTGTTCTACATTTTCTAGAAGAAGAGTAAGAACCTTGCTGTATTTTTGTGTAATTAATTAAGAGAACGTGCACCGATCTTACTCCGACGAAAGTGACGTGACCGCGCGCACCTGCAGCAGTAAACAACAATTCTCCTCACCTACACCTGTAGACCCGCCCATGCGCGCCGCTGTTCTGAAGTAAGTCCAGTCACATTCCTCGACAGATAAACACTAGGCTACTAGAGTGCTGGTAAACCTAATTTTACTCTGAAACTCCGACTGTTACAGTGTGAATGAAAATGGACTTGAGTAAGTATTTATAATTTTAAAAACTAATCGTCTTTTCCTTGTTGATTCATAATAAATATGACTTTTAATCAAACTCGACGTGTTTACCGTGAGACATTGCTTTCACTTTCATATTGGTTAAAGCTAAATAAATTTGGTAAAACACTTAGGGCTTGCTTTGTTCTCCATATAGTCGTTTACTAGGCTACAATTGGCTTGTCACGGATTGCGTTTTAGGATTATTTGCAGAAGATAGTATTTTAAAGTGCGTCACTGTGCAATTATCGTCACGTGTGCCAGGAGTGTGCGCGCGCAAGAGAGAGATTTATTCATTAATTTACTTTGCCTTTTCACATTTGCATATTTTAATTACTGAAAACATGTTATTTTTGCAACAAATAGCAATTTAGCCCTGATTTTATGTAGGCTAATCTGTGTTTTTGTTTTCTCCTGATTGAGAAAATTAAACAATTCACCTTTTCTTCATAGTTAACCATGGTCCATGGATGATGATTAACATAACTCCATTCATGAGGCATTTGTATTAATATGATTAGCATATTTTTAGTACAGATTTATTGATAGTTGTTCAGAAAGCACACACTACATGAAAGCCGTGTGTTTGTTCTGTATTTGTTGCAGGTGACGCCCAACGTCTCTCAGAGCTCAGGATTGTGTTGATGGGATATAGAGAAGCTGGTAAGAGTTCATCTGGAAACACCATCCTGGGCCGAGAGGAGTTTGACTTGAAGAAATCTGCTCAGTGTGTGAAGAGACATGGAGAAGTAGCAGACAGACACATCACTGTCATTGAAGCTCCAGGATGGTGGAGTGATTTCCCTGTAGAGAAGAGTCCAGAGTTACTGAAACAGGAGATTTTGCTCAGTGTGTCTCTGTGTCCTCCAGGACCACACGCTGTACTACTGATCATACGCGTGGACATTAGATTCAAAGAGAATAAGAGAAAAGCATTGCAGGAGCATCTGGATCTTCTCAGTGAGAGAGTCTGGAGTCACACTATAGTGCTGTTCACTGCTGGAGACTCTCTGTTAGACACATCTATAGAGCAGCACATCGAGAGTGAAGGGCCGGATCTCCAGTGGCTGCTGGACAAATGTGGGAACAGGTTTCATGTTCTCAACAATCACAACAGGAGTGACGACACTCAGATCAAGGAGCTGCTGGAGAAGATTGAGGAGACAGTGGCACAAAACAACGGCTGCCATTTTGAAATAGACAGAAAGATTTTACAGGAGGTGAAAGAGAGAAGAAGAGCAGAGGAAGAGAGAGCAGAAGAACGAATGAAGAGGATGCAAAAAAGGAGAGAAAACATCAGATCACAGATGAGTGAGTCCATATACTTTATAGTGCAGACACACACTGAGTATATTACGTAAATCATGAAAAGCTCACAGTGACGGCCCATACAATCTGTTCCTGAAGGAAATAAGCACTTTCATTTCTTAAACAATCCTGTTCTTCATAGGGTGTGCTTCTGATAATGGAAATCCCTTTACCAAATGCATAGAAAACAATAAATAAATAAATAAATAAATAAAACAAAACTGCAAACATCTCGTCTTGAATATAATCTTAAACATCAGCTTTACACCTATAGACACGACTCATGTTTGTCCCGTCAAACACTTTGAAAGTACATTACAAGTAAAAGCTACTAGACTGCCGGTGGAACTATATTTTATTTGGTTAAAAAAGAGCTATTTTTTTTTAGGCAAATATGTCATGTAAAATGGACATTTGTAAGATTAGAAGCTATTTTTATTAAAGAAAAAATGTCAACATATTTTGAGAAAAACTTTTACTGCTTTCATATTGGTCAATACAGATCAGATTTTGGATCTGTTTATACCAATTTAGGTTGTTTCTTCCCCCATAAAGTCTTTTATAAATATAAGCAGTCAGAAAGGGTATTTTTTGGCTTTCTTTCCATCTAGTAAATGAATGTAAATGTAATACAGTCGTGTATTTGCTGGTGCTAATAGCCACCAGTGCATTGATAATGCTTTCCCAGTCGAGAACACACACAAGAGAGAGATTTACTCATTAGTTTAGAGGGATAATTTAGCCTAATTATTTTTAAAGAATATACTTTCTGAAAACATTATTCTGAAGCTATTGGGAATTTAGTCTTGCTTAATCTGTGTGTTCACTGTGATCTGTTGCTTTGTTTGCAGATCATTGAAATTAAGCTATTTTATTTTCTTCATAATTCTCCATCGATAACCTTTGTTCAACTCTCATTTAAGAGTTTAATTAATGTGAGTAACACTTAAATGTCATTTTTAATCAATAACGTGTAGTTTGACACCCATACACAGATAAGGTGAACCTAATTTCAGGAACCCCTTTCTCACAAAGAGAGATTATTTACGAAGATTTAAGATGTCACCCTCCTTAAGAAGTGTGTTTGTTCTGTATTTGTTGCAGGTGACGCCCAACGTCTCTCAGAGCTCAGGATTGTGTTGATGGGATATAGAGAAGCTGGTAAGAGTTCATCTGGAAACACCATCCTGGGCCGAGAGGAGTTTGACTTGAAGAAATCTGCTCAGTGTGTGAAGAGACATGGAGAAGTAGCAGACAGACACATCACTGTCATTGAAGCTCCAGGATGGTGGAGGAGTTTCCCTGTAGAGAAGAGTCCAGAGTTACTGAAACAGGAGATTTTGCTCAGTGTTTCTCTGTGTCCTCCAGGACCACACGCTGTACTACTGATCATACGCGTGGACTACACATTTAAAGAGACTTATAGAAAAGCATTGCAGGAGCATCTGGATCTTCTCAGTGAGAGAGTCTGGAGTCACACTATAGTGCTGTTCACTCATGGAGACTCTCTGTTAGACACATCTATAGAGCAGCACATCGAGAGTGAAGGGCCGGATCTCCAGTGGCTGCTGGACAAATGTGGGAACAGGTTTCATGTTCTCAACAATCACAACAGGAGTGACGACACTCAGATCAAGGAGCTGCTGGAGAAGATTGAGGAGACAGTGGCACAAAACAACGGCTGCCATTTTGAAATAGACCGAAAGATTTTACAGGAGGTGAAAGAGAGAAGAAGAGCAGAGGAAGAGAGAGCAGAAGAACGAATGAAGAGGATGCAAAAAAGGAGAGAAAACATCAGATCACAGATGAGTGAGTCCACATACTTTATAGTGCAGATACACTGAGTATATTACGTAAATCATGAAAATGTAACAGTCACAGCAATAATAGCCAGAGACTTCTTGTCATTAACCGCTATAGATGTTATTCGATCTGCGTCATCAATGTTTGCGGCGACCATATTGTTGACATAGAAACCACGGCAACTGTCAGTCTGTCACTTGACAAGCGAGGCAGCGTCGGTATTATCCATGGTATTATCATCACTGTATTTTTTTTTAAACAGCGTGATGGTGTGTTGTGTAATACACGGCTTTTCTAACAACAGCAATAAGAACCCCGGAGTTAGTTTTTATGATTTCGATAAGTTACCGACTGTCAGAAAACGTGAAGGGAAGGAGACAGAGTTGAGCCAGCGCAGGAGAGGCTAGCTAGGATAAATAGGCTAAACTTTCAGCCAACTCCCCACAGAAAAGTCTGTTCCCATCATTTTACCACAGGTTTCACACATAATCCGTGTGCAATGCGTGTGCGGTGCGTATACGGTACAGAAGCAGGACGCGCTATAGTGCTTTATATACTGCGTTTGTAGTGCGAACTGATCCGCAGCTGTACCACAAACACCCTGGTACTCACTATTTTTATTTTAACACATACTCACTAGTTCAACAACGTAAGCCAATTATTCCATGCAATACTTCTATATATTAAGTTGCTCAAGCAAGTGGTCAAATATTTAACCATGTACTTATATTAAAATCGCAAACATTTTAAATGAAAACTTAAAATTGACAAAAACAACCGACTCTCATGCCTTTTCTTTTGCATTTACATTTTAATACAACAAATCTTGCATGTCACAAAGAACTTGTTTTTCCACCTCCACGAATGAGACGAGTGTCGTTTATTATGTTGCCTTGTCGAGGTGCATTGTAGTTTGTATACGGATACTGTATGAACGAGATCGTTATAAATATCCGGATAAGTTACGGCTGGCAAAGTGGCAATAAGGACGGATCTTTACTTAAGCTTGATTGGTGTGGACCCACATCAAATAATAGCATTATCTTCTCTTGATACCGACGAGATGAAGCCAGGCTACTGCTCCCCTCAACTCAAATCTGCGCGCGGTTAGGGGCAGCAGGACAGATGTCATGTCAACAATATGGCCGCGGTTAGCTACTTCCGGTGTTTGCGAATAAGGTCTATATGTAGAGGCATTCCCAATAGATGTGTTCACAGCAGCTCACAGTGACGGCCCATACAATCTGTTACTAAAGGAAATAAGCACTTTCATTTCTTAAACAATCCTGTTCTTCATAGGGTGTGCTTTTGATAACGGAAATCTATTTACCTAATTCATAGACAACAATACAAAAATAAAATAAAACAAAACTGCAAACATCTCAGACTGATCTCATGAAATGGCGTATGTATGACACGCCAATTCGTATTTCCATTTTTGGCGTGCTATTAACACGCATAATCGCTTTTCAGCGTGTTTATCAACGCCTTTGACTTAACGTTATATTACTGTATTATGCATATATAAATATATGACCTACCCCAACCCCGTCCCTAAACCTACCCGTCACTGGGGTTAATACCATTTATGAGTCTTCTCCTACCATCCTAGGAAAAGAAATATCGCTCCACAGATGTAGATATAGATTTTGCTTCGTTTCGCTCGGACATTTAACGGCGTAGACATACACGCGGAATCACTCGGACATTTAATGGCGTAGACATACACGCAAAAGATTTCGGCGTGGACATACACGCGGATATTTCAAAATGCGTATAGATAACACGCCACTTGAATTGAAAGTGGCGTGTATGTTTACGCAAAGTCATGATGTCATGTTGAACATCTTGTCTTGAATATAATCTTAATCAGCTTTACACAGACACGCCTCATGTTTGTCCCGTCAAACACTTTGAAAGTACATTACAAGTAAAAGCTACTAGACTACTGGTGGAACTATATTTTATTTGAAGTTCCAACTAAGGCAAAAATATGTCATGTAAAATGGACATTTGTAAGATTAGAAGCTATTTTTACGAAAGAAAAAATGTCAACATGTTCACAGTTTTTGCGAGACTCTTTTACTGCTTTCATATTGGTCAATACAGATACGAATTTTTATCTGTTTATGCCAATTTAGGCAGATTTTTTTCGTAAAGTATCTTATAAATATAAGTAGTCACAAATGGTCTTTTTTGGCTTTCTTTCCATCTAGTAAATGAATGTAAGTGTAATACAGTCGTGTATTTGCTGGTGCTAATAGCCACCAGTGCATTGATAATGCTTTCCCAGTCGAGAACACACACAAGAGAGAGATTTACTCATTGGTTTTAAAGGGTAAACTTAATTATTTTTTAAAGAATATACTTTCTGACACCATTATTCTGAAGTTATTTGGAATTTAGTCTTGCTTAATCTGTGTGTTCTGTGATCTGTTGTTGTGTGTGTTATTTTCTTTTCTCTGTAATTAATAATTATTGCCTATCGATAACTTTTGTTCAACTCCGTTTTAAGAGTTTAATTGATGTGAGATACACTTATGTAATTTTTAATCAATAACGTGTAGTTTGACACCCATACACAGATAAGGTGAACCTAATTTCAGGAACCCCTTTCTCACAAAGAGAGATTATTTACGAAGATTTAAGATGTCACCCTCCTTAAGAAGTGTGTTTGTTCTGTATTTGTTGCAGGTGACGCCCAACATCTCTCAGAGCTCAGGATTGTGTTGATGGGATATAGAGAAGCTGGTAAGAGTTCATCTGGAAACACCATCCTGGGCCGAGAGGAGTTTGGCTTGAAGAAATCTGCTCAGTGTGTGAAGAGACATGGAGAAGTAGCAGACAGACACATCACTGTCATTGAAGCTCCAGGATGGTGGAGGAGTTTCCCTGTAGAGAAGAGTCCAGAGTTACTGAAACAGGAGATTTTGCTCAGTGTGTCTCTGTGTCCTCCAGGACCACACGCTGTACTACTGATCATACGCGTGGACTACACATTTAAAGAGACTGCGAGAAAAGCATTGCAGGAGCATCTGGATCTTCTCAGTGAGAGAGTCTGGAGTCACACTATAGTGCTGTTCACTCATGGAGACTCTCTGTTAGACACATCTATAGAGCAGCACATCGAGAGTGAAGGGCCGGATCTCCAGTGGCTGCTGGACAAATGTGGGAACAGGTTTCATGTTCTCAACAATCACAACAGGAGTGACGACACTCAGATCAAGGAGCTGCTGGAGAAGATTGAGGAGACAGTGGCACAAAACAACGGCCGCCATTTTGAAATAGACAGAAAGATTTTACAGGAGGTGAAAGAGAGAAGAAGAGCAGAGGAAGAGAGAGCAGAAGAACGAATGAAGAGGATGCAAAAAAGGAGAGAAAACATCAGATCACAGATGAGTGAGTCCACATACTTTATAGTGCAGACACACACTGAGTATATTAAGTAAATCATGAAGATGTAACAGTCACAGCAATAATAGCCAGAAACTTCTTGTCATTAATCGCTATTTGTAGAGGCATTCCCAATAGATGTGTTCACAGCAGCTCACAGTGACGGCCCATACAATCTGTTCCTGAAGGAAATAAGCACTTTCATTTCTTAAATTATCATGTTCTTCATAGGGTGTGCTTTTGATAATGGAAATCTATTTATCTAATTCATAGAAAATAACACAAAAATTAATAAATAAATAAACTGCAAACATCTTGTCTTGAATCAGCTTTACACCTTTAGAGACGCCTCATGTTTGTTGCTGTTCTGAAGATTAGATGTGAGTCCTGTCAAACACACTTTGAAAGTACAAGTAAAAACTACTAGACTGCTGGTGGATCTATATTTTATTTGGAGATTCAACTAAGGCAAAAATATGTCATGTAAAATGGAAATTTTTGTAAGATTAGAAGCTATTTTTATGAAAGAAAAAAATTTTTGCGAGACTTTTACTGCTTTCATATTGGTTAATACAGATAGGATTCTGGATCTGTTTATGCCAATTTAGGCAGATTTTTTTTCCATAAAGTTCTTTTATAAATATAAACAGTCACAAATGGTCTTTTTTTGTCTTTCTTTCCATCTAGTAAATGAATGTAAGTGTAATACAGTCGTGTATTTGCTGGTGCTAATAGCCACCAGTGCATGGATAATGCTTTCCCAGTCGAGAACACACACAAGAGAGAGATTTATTCTTTGGTTTAAAGAGAAAACTTAAATATTTTTAAAGAATATACTTTCTGAAAACATTATTCTGAAGCTATTGGGAATTTAGTCTTGCTTAATCTGTGTGTTCTGTGATCTGTTGTTTTGTGTGCAGATCATTGAAATTAAGCAATTTTCTTTTCTCTGTAATTAATAATTATTGCCTATCGATAACTTTGGTTCAACTCTGTTTTAAGAATTTAATTGATGTGAGATACACTTATGTAATTTTTAATCAGTAACGTGTAGTTTGACACCCATACACAGATAAGGTGAACCTAATTTCAGGAACCCCTTTCTCACAAAGAGAGATTATTTACGAAGATTTAAGATGTCACCCTCCTTAAGAAGTGTGTTTGTTCTGTATTTGTTGCAGGTGACGCCCAACGTCTCTCAGAGCTCAGGATTGTGTTGATGGGATATAGAGAAGCTGGTAAGAGTTCATCTGGAAACACCATCCTGGGCCGAGAGGAGTTTGACTTGAAGAAATCTGCTCAGTGTGTGAAGAGACATGGAGAAGTAGCAGACAGACACATCACTGTCATTGAAGCTCCAGGATGGTGGAGGAGTTTCCCTGTAGAGAAGAGTCCAGAGTTACTGAAACAGGAGATTTTGCTCAGTGTGTCTCTGTGTCCTCCAGGACCACACGCTGTACTACTGATCATACGCGTGGACATTAGATTCAAAGAGACTGAGAGAAAAGCATTGCAGGAGCATCTGGATCTTCTCAGTGAGAGAGTCTGGAGTCACACTATAGTGCTGTTCACTGGTGGAGACTCTCTGTTAGACACATCTATAGAGCAGCACATCGAGAGTGAAGGGCCGGATCTCCAGTGGCTGCTGGACAAATGTGGGAACAGGTTTCATGTTCTCAACAATCACAACAGGAGTGACGACACTCAGATCAAGGAGCTGCTGGAGAAGATTGAGGAGACAGTGGCACAAAACAACGGCCGCCATTTTGAAATAGACAGAAAGTGTTTACAAGAGATGGATGGTAGAAATAAAACAGAAGAGCACCTGGACAAACGGAGAGAGGAATCCAGATCGCAGACTGGTGAGTGACATCATCAAATTTTATGAATATTATCTACATATAGTCTCAGATGTGTTTCCTCCTCATTGTTCTAGACTATGGGCCTAATTTTTAAAATGTGTGAACGCACAGAATTATCTTATAGTGTGTGTACTCTAAAAATCCATGCCAACACTAATGTTTATAAAAATGGTCTTTGACGTGAAAAAACTGCTTAGCGCCACATCAGGGTCTAAGCAGACATACACACTTTTTTCTTGTGACAGAGTCGGAGTACTGCAGGCATTTGGAAATCTAAGTAATTCTTGCTGTTCTTCATTCTCAAGTAAAAAATGTGGATGTCGACTGGTGCTCTTTTACATGTTGATTGACATTAATAAGACAGCATTTACAATGCAGAGATTGGAAACCATTTTGCTGCACACAATCCCAAAATCATTTGCGATTTATAAATTTCACATGTGGAAGAGAGGCATACGCTCGTTTTTATATACCGCAGTATAAAATAGTCACGTGACACCTACCGCGGGTCTGAGCTCGTCACAGTCATCACCGCAAAAAAAAAAACATTGGCCTGCACATGTGCACGTTGTGTCTAATGACATGGATTCATTGATTCTAATGACATGGATTATGTCTAATGACATTGTGTCTTACATGGATTCAAGGTTTTCTAAACAAAACTTATCATCAAAAGATTGAGCAAATCCGACCTTTCGCGAGTTGGGGAGCGCAATGTTCCATGACACATAATAACATTCCATTCGTATTAAATGTGTGGATGGACTAATATTTCATACGCAACCGCATCAGAAAACTCATCATCCGTCCGTCATCCATCTACCGCGGAAACTTCTTGCTTTTTAACCGCGGTAAAAAAAAATCCATACCGTCCCAACCCTAGTGTAACTTTGATTCGTCACTTACATTTCAATCTCATATACGTTCTATTACCAAGACTGCAGTTTACCCTCCTGATACTGACCAGGTTCAACGAGTATGAGGTCTCTGCGGAACAAGTGGACGTTTTTAAATTTGTTTTTGTGAATCATGCATTGAAAATGATGCCCTTCACCCAACCCCACCAACACTGTGACACGGGCAAATCAGTTAACACGGTCAAACACACCCCTCTGTTTATGGCCTCGCCCACTGATCTGGTAACTCTATTACTGTCCTGCAGAGTCCTATACTTGGGTTCAACCCTGTTTCTAAAATGAAGTGGATCCTCCTTCCCTGACCCATTTAGAGTTGACAAAGTTGACCATCTGAAATAATTACTGTAGCAAAGTTCAGACTCAGGGTGAACGAAGGAGACGGGGTCGGCTTGTGGAGACTGCGGGTCTTTATTGACAAATCTAAAAAACAAACTGAATAAACTCAGGGACACGCCCACTGCGCTGGGTGATCGTTCTCAAGTCGCTGTTCTCAGCTGTCACTCAAATTGTTCCACGCGCTCTGCGCTCTCTTACCACTTTCACTCGCAGCTTACAGCTTCACAACGCGATCACCCGCAGATCTCCACTGGTCTCTCTCTCCCTGCTTCCCCACAGCCATCACTGCAAACGGGATCTGGTGTTCGTCATTTTGCACTTGACCTAATACGTGCCGCTCGCCTCCCAGCTCTCTCTCCCGTCACAGACATCGCTGAACCACGCCCCCCTCGCCACAATTACTATCACATGAACTGATGAATATTTTCCTTCAATGCCATGTCAGTTGCTTTGGATAAAAGTGTCTGTTAAATGCATTCATGTTGTAAATGTTCTACTGATCTGCTCTCTGCTTTCATTATTACAGTGAGTGGAGATGATGGATCTGATTCACTATCTGTGGGAAGTTCTGCTTATGGTTCATTCAGATCACGATCAGGAGCAGACCCGATTTTCAGTTCATCACATTCCATAGATTCATCTCACACAAGTTACGAGTCAGGGGCCATAAAACGATGTAACAGCATTGGATTGCTACCACCAAACAGTGAGTGTCTTGTTTTATTAGGCACTTTTAGTTTATTTTGAATTGAATTGAATTGAATTGAAAGCCTTTATTGTCACTGTACGAGTACAATGAGATTTGGAGAGCAGCTCTCTGAAAGTGCACACATGTATAACACATACATACATATACAGTACATTAGTGCAAGTCTGAGTGTAGGTTGAGTATGGTGACAGCTTTGGGGAAGAAGCTATCCCTGAGTCTGTTTGTTCTGGCCCGTATTGACCTGAAGCGCCTGCCTGAGGGCAACAGGTTAAAAAGATGGAAGCCGGGGTGGGTGGTGTCCCTCAGGATGTTTCTGGCCCTGCTGAGACAACGGGAGTTGTAGATGGCAGTCAAAGAGGGCAGAGGGCAGCCGATTATTTTTTGTGCAGTGTTTGTCACCCTCTGCAGTCGCTTCCTGTCGGCCTCCGTGCAGCTGGAATGCCACACTGTCACAGCATAGGTCAACAGGCTCTCGATGGTGGAACGGTAGAAGGTCACCAGCAGCTGAGTTTTTAGTTGTTCCTTCCTGAGAACCCTCAGGAAGTGTAGCCGCTGCTGGGCCTTCTTTACCAGAGCTGTGGTGTTGGCCGACCAGGAGAGGTCTGCAGAGATGTGGATGCCAAGGAATTTGAAGGACTCCACTCGCTCTACACATCCACCGTTGACGTAAAGGGGGGCTGGGGCAACTTTGTTCTGCCTGAAGTCCAGGATGAGTTCCTTGGTCTTGTTGATGTTTAGTGCCAGGTTGTTTAATGCACACCACTCGCTAAGTTTCAGGACCTCATCTCTGTAGGCCGCCTCGTTTCCCCTTGTAATCAGCCCCACCACCGTAGTATCATCAGCGAACTTGATGATGATGTTCTCTGGGTGGGCGGGACTGCAGTCGGATGTGTAGAGAGAGTAGAGTAATGGGCTCAGCACGCAGCCCTGTGGAGAGCCAGTGCTGAGAGTGCGGGAAGAAGAGAGTTCTTCCCGTGACCTTTTTTTCTTTTCTTTACAGCCTTAGAGCTCATGTTTTCCATGAATACCATCTGTTTTGTTGTGACAATATAATATTTAGTCTACATTGTCAAAAATTTGTCACCACATATTTTTCCCTATTTCCCAAATTTGGACATCTTCCATTTTCTACATTTTTGATAATTGAATTTATGACAAAATTCAATTCAATTTATAAAAAAAAAGAAAAAAAAAGAATTTACGAATTTATGGCTAACCTGAAATAAAATAAAATAAAAAAGCACATATAATATTTAGTTTGATCATCTTATGTTGATGATCAACATTTTGTGGAGTTTAAGCACTGGTTTATACTGATCATTTCTTATACATCTATATGGTCAACTTTAAATGTTTGCAATAAACAGCAATCAGGCTTGTAATAAAGATATTTTATAGATAAATCATGGACAAAAAACATGTCCAATCCCGTCTGATTAATAAAGTATTTGTATAATGTTAATGATGACCAATAGACTGCATTATTTTTAGGAACATATTGAAAGTTTTAAATCTCAGAATTTTGTTCTAAGAGTTTCAAACCCTTTTACTGATTTAAATGTTTCCCCCCAGTGAGTGGAGATGAGCGGTCGGACACATTGTCTGTGGGAAGTTCTGGTTACAGTTCATCGCTATCAGCAGCAGACAGCGATTCAGTTTTTAGCTCATCACACTCCATAGTCTCATCTCTCAGCTCAGGATTCGGTTCTTTGCGGTCCATCCCGGAGTCTGTGGAACATTCAGGAACCAGACGAGCAGATGGTGGGAACATGATCTCAAAACTTTTCACAAGAAGATCAAAGAAGCATGATCAGCATGAAGACACTAAGAAAACCTGAATTATATCAAATGAATAAAAGAGAAATTGTGTCTTTATAATGTTGCCGACACAATATTTAACGATAACTATTACTAAAACTATAAGGTATTGCAGTGGTCGAATTAAATTAGTGGAGATCATAAATCATATTGATATGTAATTAACATTGAGTTTTTTTTAATTACTTTGTAAAAAAAAATCCAAAATTTTAATTTCAGATTTATATAAAGGGGTAATTAAATGTAACAAATCATGTAAAAAGTATCATCTTTGAAAAATGTCTGTCAAAATATAACTTACAACACATGTTGAATGATAAAAGTAAAGTAAAGTTTTTCAATTTATTGGTGTTTTTTCTCTTTAACCTGCAGTAGTGTAAAGTATTTCACTCGGTTCTGTGATCATTCTGATTAAATTTCAGCGAGTGAAGAACAAATTCATTATATATTATGTATGTTATCGTCTCTGACAGACTAAAGCCTCATGCTGAAGCCGCTCAGGCTGACATTTTCTTCCTCGTCTCGGAAAACGATGTAGTCGAAACATCTGGTAGTGTGTGTTTTCCAGGTAATGCATGTTCTGCCTGGACCGCTGTTTTTAGTTCTAATCTTCCAACGACGGCGAGTATAAGTTTTTGACGGACTGTGATGTGTGTGAGGCCTATGGCCTATTGTTTAATTTTCTTTGACTGACCAAATTTGAAAGTTGAGACATTGTTTCATATTAAATATTACCTGCTTGGTCCTATCTGTAATGTGTGTGAGGGGTGAACTATGTTTGATCTTTGGGTAATTATAAAATGTGCTGGAGATGTTAGTGCTGGGCGGTATTTCGGTTCATACCGAAAACCGGTGTTTATTTTTGTTATGATATGAATTTTTTAGGGCTGTCAAATGATTAATCACGATTAATCACATCCAAAATAAAAGTTTTTTTTACATAATATATGTTGGTGCACTGTGTATAATTATTTTGTATATATATAAATACACACACATGCATGTATATTTAAAAAAAAAATATTATTTATATATAAAATATTTATATTTATATATAATATAAATTATATATAAATCTACAGTATATACATGAAAATATTTCTTAAATATAGGCTATACAAGCATGTGTGTGTATAAACCTTCAAAAAAGCGAGTTATTTTTTGTTAACCAATTGGCTAAATCTCTTCCTCTTTCTCCTTTCCCCTTTAAGTTAGCCTTGGATGAGTTTAAATATCTGGGGATATTTATCACCGGTTCGCTCAAAGACTTGTTTCTTAAGAACTTTACACCACTTTTTGAAAAATGTAAGTCAGATATGGCTAAGTGGAGTTCCCTTTCCCTTTCTGAAATAGGTCGTGCAAACCTTATTAAAATGGTTATCCTGCCGAAGTTTTTGTATCTTTTCCAACATCTTCCAGTTTGCATTAATAAATCCTTTTTCACTAATTTAGATCAGCAACTGAATGGATTCCTTTGGAATAACAAACCGGCTCGCATCAGGAAGTCAGTTCTTCAGCTTCCCAAATCTGAAGGGGGTTTAGCCTTGCCAAATTTTCGATACTACTTTTGGGCATGTAACATTCATAAATTACTATATTGGGTTGGCCTTAAAAGTTGTGCCTCTAGTCCGCCCTGGGTGCATATAGAGATATCTTCCTCTCGTTATTTACTTTCTAACATCTGCTCCCAGCTTCCCCTTGGGGTACACAAAATCTCGAGCAATCCAATAGTTATTAATACTATTAAGATTTGGCATCAATTCAGGAAACAATTTGGTCTACATAGAGCATCCATTCATATGCCAATTTCAAATAATCACTTATTTTCCCCGTCCCTTGCAGACAGCTTCTTTGATATTTGGGCAGCTAAGGGTCTCTCTACTCTAAATGACTTGTATGAAAACGTCATCTTTTTCGTTTTTTTTCAAGTGAGGCACTTTATTCAAAAGTTATTTCCCCATTTTCCCAATCGTCCACCCGAATCAGAAATTGACTCAATTCTCACCTTGGACTCTGGCCAAAGACGACTGATTTCAATAATTTATGGTAAAATAATCTCCTTAACCCCTTCCCCGATTAACTCCCTTAAGCTAACGTGGAAGCAAGATTTGGGCATTGACATTTCCGATGACCAGAGGAAAAACATCCTTAGTTTAGTTCACTCTTCATCTATTTGTGCTAGACATGCCCTAATACAATGTAAAGTGCTTCACAGAGCCCATTTCACTAATGCCAGACTGGTAAAAAAAATTCCTAACAGAAGTGGTGCCTGTAACAGATGCAGACAATCCCCAGCCGATCATCTTCACATGTTCTGGTCATGCCCGGTGCTATCAGACTATTGGTCCGACATTTTTAGAACTCTCTCACAGGCTCTCAATTACACTTTTATCCCTAATTCCTTAAGTGTCCTGTTCAGCCTTTCCCCAATCAGAAGTATACCAGCTACAGCGCACTGCGTCATTGCCTTTACTACTTTGCTAGCCAGGCGTGCCATCCTCCTTAAATGGAAGCATGCTTCTCCTCCATCACATGATGATTGGATAAGAGAGGTATTGCAATGCATCCACCTTGAAAAAATTAGACACTCTCTTAAAGGTTCGCTGAGATCATTTCATAAAACTTGGAGCCCTGTACTGTCTACTTTTGAAGGCCTCATCGTGAAGTCAGGACCCCCTGATTAGACTTCTGTGGAGAGGGGGGAGACTTTTCTTCTTTTGTTTACTGTCATATATATATATATATATATATATTATTATTTTTTTATTAAAATTATTATTATTATTTATTTTTTTTAACGTTAGAGCTATGAGTGGCCTTAGGGGTGGGGTGGGGGGGTTGATTGATTGGTGAGGGTCTATATTGATGTGCGGAACTGTTCTGTTGATTTCTTTCTTTTCTCTCTCTTTCAGACACCTTGTTTCATTTTACATCTGTTGTTTGTAACACCCTTTATATGTCTGCAGAAAACTTAATAAAAAAAATAAAGAGCATGTGTGTGTATTTATATATATAAAATAATTATACACAGTGCACCCACATATATTATGTAAACAAAAACTTTTATTTTGGATGTGATTAATCATGATTAATCATTTGACAGCCCAAGAATTTTTACAACAACGTTCGGAATGCCGCGCGACACTGTTTGAGAGGGTCCGTTTTCAGTGTTGCACTGCGGTGAGGCACAGCTAGCATGACGGGGAAGTTGGATAGGTTAAACTATAATTGATAGCTGTCAAATTATATTACAGTGTTTCCCATACATTGGTTCACAATATTATCACTGCCCGCCACAAATTGATTTTCCAAAAGGCATCTCTTTGTAAACAGCCTTGCAAACCTGTATTAATACTAGTGTGGAGTTTTTCTACATTATTCACTCATGACAGTAAAATAGGGCATTCGCAGTCAATCTACTGCAGTATTTCCTCTCTCAATCAGTAGAAAATGTGATTAACACCCAGTCATGCTTGAAAAAAAAAGTAATATACCGTGAAACTGGTAGAATTGTAACAAAATGCCATGATATAAACTTTTGGTCATACCGCTCAGCACTAGATGATGTTAATAAATTACAAGATACTGACATGTTTTTGTTATTTTAAACCAGGAACGGAGTGTTTTTTTTTCCCACTTGTAATCAGATAGATCTAAAGTTATATTTAAAATCAACATTTCATCGTAATGCATTGTGAAGGATAATTGTGAAGGACACAACTAGCCAGTGTTCAAAACTCTCTGCTTGCCTTAGCTCGATTCAAAGCGGTAAGCTTGTAATAATGTTTTTAGTTCCAGTGGTACTGGTGGATTTCCGCGGGAGATTCGAGCATGTCTTTGCGTCATTACGTCACATCTGTACACATAAAGAAGGAGTCTCGGCTAGTAGGCTATATTGTGTGTGAGGATGCTGGAGGAAGAGATTTATAGCCTTTTCTCACAGCACTTGATATAATTAAACTTATCAATTTGATGGCGGATCCAGAAAGATTCAAACGACAATCACCAGTGACAACTGGAGACTCACCCGCTGTAAAATGCAAAAGACTTCGGACTTCGGAGTGGCTACAGAAAATAAGAGACTGCAACCGGCCCATGCGAAAACAAGGATAGTATCGGATTATGGCATGAATGGGCATTAAATGTAGTAACGCAATGCTGATGTTGTTAACATTAACAATTTGAGAACAAAGTATAATTTGCACGGTTTGACGTGATATGATAAGCGATCGTTAGATTTAATCAGCGCGATTTACTGCAATGCTTTTTTCCCCTTAGTTGGTCAGAACAAAAGTGGATGTTACTTGTTCAGATTATATTTTCTGGTGAAAATTTTTATGTTGGTCATACTTCCAAATAGAATCTGTGATTGCGAATGCCAGTATCGACACCGACTGACAGCCGCACATTCTCCTCAAAACACTGTGTTCATCCACGCTGTGCCGTGCCGAGGCACAACCCACGTAAAGTTGATAATTCCGCGAATAACTGCAATTGTAGATTTCGAACAGAGATGGCGACAAAGAGGAAAAACTACGGACTGCAGCTTTAAATTGAGGGTAAAGTCCACAATAGAGGCTTAGTAACTACTAGAGTTTGTAACTAACACTGTACTTAATTTGGTTGCACCATTCGTTTTTAAAGAGCAAAATGCAGTTGGACACCCCTATATAGCATTAGGGGTGGGAATCTCTAGGCACCTCACGATTCGATTCGATTACGATTCAGAGGGCTGCGATTCGATGCTAAATCGATTATCAGAATCTTTTTTGTGTGTGTGTGTGACTATAAATACTTTGCTTTAAAAGTACAAAGTAATGACCCATAAAGAATTAACGTACAATATATTTTATTAACATTGCAAAGAACCAACAGGAAAATACATGTGTGTCTGAACTAGCAGCATATTTGTAGTAAATTAATAATATAACAACGACCGGTAACGTTACAGCCGAGTGTTTTTCCTCCTCTGGCTGGAAACGTGTCATTTGGCTTCATGTGTCTTGTTTCCGAAATATTTTAGTTTTACTCTACAAAGCTTACAACTAGTGTGGCTCTTGTCCAGCTCCTTTCCCCCTTCAACTTCAGAAGCCAAAATATTTCCACACGTCAGCTTTTAACGAGGAGGGTGTTTGGATTTCAACATGACATCATGACTTTGCGTAA